ATCTGTGTCTTAATTACCTAATTCTGCTATAGCAAAAATACCATAAGTGGATGGCTTTAACAACCATAAATGTATTCTCTCACATTTGAGAGGCTAGAACAAATTCAGAGTGTTGACTCTAGGGGAAGGCTTTGTCTTTGTCAGCTAAGGGGAAAGGTCCTTGTCTTTTTGCAACATCGGTAGAGCTAGTATTCTTTGGAGATCCCCATGTGTCTTGGCATCAGTGTTTCCCTGGACCTAGGAACTTCAGTGCAGGGACTCCAGGGCTAAAGGATGCACTCCACTCCTGGCTCTTCTTTCTTAGTAGTAATAAGTCCCCTTCTCTCTAATCTGTTCTCTCTTTTATATCTCACAAGAGACTTACTCAAAGATACAAGCAAACCTGTAGACTGCATCTGGTCTCACTGACATCATACAAGGGAAGATTTATAACACATAGAATAACATCAGATCACATCATGGGGATAATTGTATCATATTAGGTCTCATCATGGAGGTGATAAGTACATCTGAACTGCTAACCCCTGAAAATCCTAGCCCAGCTAAGTTGACACCAAACCTTTATTATCACAGGCTGATATTTAAATATGCACAGCAAAGATGCCAATGATTAACAGATTTTTTAGCAACTTCTGCAATCTGAAGTTGATCAAACATGCAATCAACATGCATTAATAATTACTGATGTCTGGAATGTGAACGTTGGAAAACAAAGGATTGCTACTTAGAAAATATGGCCTTGCCGACAGAAACGACACTAGAGACTGCATGACAGAATTCTGTAAGAATTCTGCAAGAATAGTATATCCTTTTCATTGGACATACTTTTATCAACATAAACTGACTATAAACGTGGATCTTGCTGGATGTAATACACAGGATCAAACTAACTACATCTGTGGACAGTAACAATGGAGAAGCTCAGTGTCATCGGTCACATGGCCAGGGACTGATTGCAGAACAGACCCCCAACTCATATTCAGTTCAAACTGAAGCCAAAGAACTAAAACATAACTCTGAGTATATCCGAGCTGAATTTAGAGACCACCTCAAGAATCGATTCAACACATTGACCACTAATGCCCAAAGACCAGATGAGTTGTGGGATGGCATCTGACATCATACATGAAATAAAGCAAAAAGTCATTAAAGAAATTAGACCATAATGGATGTCAGAAGTTTCAGATGGGATGTTTGAAACTTGCTTTTGAATGAAGAGTAGTTAAAACAAATGGAAGAAAAATGAAGCAAAAGACCTGAACAGATTTCAAAGGGTGGCTCAAGGCAACAAAGTATTATTAATGCAATGTGCATTCTAACCTGGAGTTAGAAAACTAATTAACATTTGTTTCACTCTGTTCAAACTACAGTTCCTTTGATTCAAGAAGATTCCCTCCCTCAGTTTTGGGCCTGTTATGCCTCTGTAGGTTAATATGCTGTGCTGCAAAGTCAATTTGAACCAAAAGGTCGTTGGTTCAAGCTTATCAGCTGCTCCTCAGAAAGCATATACAGGGTTGCTATGAGTCTGAACTAACTCGATGGCACTTAGCTTTCTTATTTCTCCTAGCTAAAAATGAATTCTAGTACCCTTCTACATAACCTACATAATTTGAACAGTAGCCTATCTTCTACTCCCCAGTAACTATAAAGTGTATATATAGGTATGGTGGTAGTGGTGGTTATGTGCTGTGGAGTCAGTTCCAACTCATATCGACCCTGTACAAGGTTTCCGAGGCGGTAAATGTTTACAGGAGCAGAAAGCCTCATCTTTCTCCTGCGGAGCAGCTGGTAGTTTCGTAGCTTTGAACTGCTGACTTTGCAGTTTGCAGCCTAATTCGTAACCACTACGCTACCAGAGCTCCTTACATATAGATATAGACCCATGGCAAATATCTGTGATTGCAAAGGGCTTTTATTAAACATCACTAACAATGTTAAGTGCCATCGAGTCAGTTCTGACTCATAGCAATCCTGTATATGGCTTTAATGGACCAGCTGATGGGTCTGAATCATCAACCCTGCGATTAGCAATCCAGTGCTTAACCTACAGCACCACACCAGGACTCCAGTCAACAAATAACATACACATAAAAATTTAAAAGTTCTAAAATTGCTGCTGCTTTTGGAGCCAATGCTGGTACTCCAGAACTTTGAAACGCTATTTTTCAAGACCTCTAAGAGCTTGATTATGATGAAAATAACAAATAACACACATGCAGAGTACTCAGACTATTATATTTTAAAAATAATAGTTTATTTAGGTTATACTTTATACAGCAAATCAGGTTAGCTCTTTAACCACTTTTTTTTTTTTTTTACAAGTAGTTCTGGGCCATTGGCTACAATTTCTACAATGTGTCAACATCCCAATTATTTCCATTGGTCTAACTTCCCTTTTTTTTTAACAAGCTCTGGTAACCTAGCCATTATGAGAAGGGCTGCTAACCTCAGCTGTTCCATGAGAGAAAGATGAGGCTTTCTGCTCCCATAAAGATTTACAGCCTTGGAAACCCTACGCAGGGTCAGAATCGACTCCAGAGCACACAACTACCAACTTCCCTTTCCGTCTTTGCTTTTGGGGAAATGTTAACCATTTGGTCTCATACAATTCATTAAGGGAGCACCTTAGTCACAAATCAAATTATATTTTAACCTAATTTATTGCCAGGAGGCTTTAAAAAGTTCAAAAATATGGAATTAGAAGATAATGGAATTTTTTCATGAACTTTTGGGAAAGCTCTTATTTGCCAGAAAAGTGACCTACAGAAATAGCTTTAATTCCAAATTCAAAGTATTATCTTAAGGCAATAGTCTCGGAGTTAATTTAGACTCTATTGGTCTAACAGGTTTGGCAACTTTGTTCTACAGTTTTCTATTGTGTCCCTAGTCAGAATGGTTAGTGGTAACCTGGCACCAACTAGTTGTTTTAGTTTCTTTTTTAAGCCTTTCTGTTTTGCTCTAGATTACTAGAGACCAATTTATCTTAAGATGCTCACAGCTTTTAAATAAATGCTACTCATCAAACAAGGATGTAGAACATTATCTTTGTGAATTACGTTATGTCAAATGACTAAGCTGTCCCCGAATATGGTTCCAAGCCTTTTGGCCCAGCAAACCAATCCCATGAGTTAAGTGGTTATGCCTAGGAAGGCCCTTAACTATGCAGTTTATTATATGGATATATGTTGTACTTGTTAAGTGTTGTGGAGTTCAGTTCCAATGCATAGTGACTCTGTGTAGAGTTTCCAAGGAGCTGCCAGTGGGTTTGAACTGCCAACTTTGTGGTTATCAGTCCAGTGCTGATCTTACAGAGACACATCAGGACTATGCAGTTTGTAATGAAGAGGCTTCAAACAGTTTGTGAAATAATTCCATTATGTTTTTATTTTTTTCCCACCAACTTTTTGAAGCCCCTTCATATATGCAGCATAAATGTGTATGTTGTTGTGTGCTGTCGAGTTGGTTCAGACCCATAGCAGCTGGTGAGCTTGAACCACTGACCTTGCAGTTCAAAGAGACTTTGCAATCCAGTGCATTAACCCACAGTGAAAAGCCTATAAATCCACTTATTTGTGCACCTGCATTTATTTGCATATGCTCTCCTATACCCATATATGTTGCTTTGGCTGTTGCAAAATTGTATGCTATCACATTTACCGAAATTGTGCCCTTTTCTCACATGCTTCTTAGTTTCTGTATTTACTTTGTCAAGCTGGGCTGACTTCACCCACATTTAGATCAGAATTCCCATTCCCATCACTAAAAGTAGTGGCTCCTATTTAGCGTGACTCTCCTCCTTTCTCCCTACTATTCCTGGTAACACTTACAGAAATTAGCTTTCCAAGTATATGTCTACTCTTGACTTTCATTCATTCCTACATTTAGTTTTGCAGATGCATTAATCCTTGTAGTTGGACAGTATTCCATTGTATATATGTAGTTTGTTTATACATTCATTCGTGAGTGGGCACTCAGGCTGTTTCCATTGTTTAGCTATTGTGGATGACACTGCAATGAAATGGGTATGTACGTCTTCTTGCCACTGCTATTACATCTCTAAGGTACATATCTATGAGTAGGATTGCTGGGTCATAAGGTAATTCTATTTCTAACTTTTTGAAGAAGAGCCATAATGTTTTCTATACTGGTTGTATCATTCTACAAACCCACCAGCTATGTAAATTTGAACTACTGTTCTTGAGCTTGCTCCAGAAACTTAAATGGGTAGTAACAGATTTTGTAAGTAACTCAGAATATTCTGCAAAAACTGAAGTCTCAGGAAACAGAATCAGTTACAATGTGAAACATACCAACTCCAGCTTGCCAGTGGAGATAAATCAGTGGATTCAAAGAGATCCAGGAGTTAAATGAGTAATCATACAACAGAATGCTGACAAACATGCTACCAATAACATGATGAGTTGGAATGGAAATTTTGTATTGAAGTTATATGGAAGTAAAGATGGAAAAATAAAACCAGAAGATAGCACATTCAGATATGTAAAGAGAAGGAACTGACGACCTGAGAAAAACAGTTCATGAGAATTCCACACACAAACAGGATTTCTTAGTAGAAAACCGTAGAGATGAACAAGATGGATATAAGGGTCTAGAAGAGGAGGGTTGGCATAAAAGTGACCTATTTCTCATGCAGCCACATTAACACTCTTCCAGTTTCTTAAAAGCAAGTTCTATATACTTTCCCAGCTCAAAGCTCCAAATTTATACATCACCATCTCTAAAGAGACAAATAGATACCAATGGAGAAACTTAGATACAGCTGAAATATTCCAAATCTCTACACTTACCATTTCTCAGGCATGATGGCTTGAAGCTGATTTAACCACAATTTTACAAGTTTATTTATTAGAGTGAAAATAGAAGACTATTAAAAATAATGAAAAAGGTAACATACATCATCGTGCTTAGTGTTTTTGTAACTGTTGGTAAGGCTTTGCACTGAACTAGTTCTTTCCTCAGCCACATGGGATTTGGTGGCACTATGCGTCTGGAAGAGATTGGCTGTGGGTACCACTTCTTGTCTTCAGTTGTGATTGTGCAATATCAGCAAGTGCACTCTGTATCTTTTCCAGAAGCATATCCCCTCGATAAACAACGTCCTCCAGACATGTAGCAGCTTCGTGGTTTTCTTCTTCCAGCTTATACAAGCTAGCAGCCTTTACAAAAACAAATGTAAAAAATGAAAACTTTGGAGATTAGTAACAATTAAGGAACTAAAGAAACTACAGCAGAACTATTTACTCTTAAATTTGGATCAATCTCCAACCATTATGGATAGTTTTCTGAGACAAAAAAATTTTAAGTCAGGTAACTTTTAAGAGTTTACTATGAATTACTTTTTTAAAAAGTGGATTTTCCTGTATGCTGACAACCAGGGGGCAGGCTTGCAGGATATACCCTTTAGTTGGTTGATGATGCATGGCAATGAAAGAATGTATGATAAGATGAATGTAAAGTTAATGTTCTCCCATGTAAACTATCACATAATTCAGAATAAAACATTAAAAAAAAAAAAAGTGGATTTTCACTGAGAGATCTTTGGATGTCTATGTGATACCTTTCTACACTGCTTTTGGATACTACTACTATGCACTACAAGGAGCTCTGGTAGCGTAGAGGTTGCGAATTGGGCTGCAAGCCACAAGGTCAGCAGTTCGAAACTACCAGCAGTTCCAAGGGAGAAAGATGAGGTGTTCTGCTCCCGTAAAGATTTACAGCCTCAGAAACCCTGTACAGGGTCGCTATGAGTCGAAAACGACTCCATGGCACACAACAACAACTACACACGACACCCATGATGCCACTCTCTTTAATTCTTTGTGAGGACAAGAGACAAATCAAGGAAAATAGGTTTCCTTATAATTTGAGATGGAGCAAGCATATACAGAGGTATGCATGCATATATATAAGTACATATATACTAGGAGCCCTGATAGCATAGTGGATTAGGAGCTGGGTTGCTAGTCACAAGGTAATTAGTCCTAATGTACCAGTCACTCAGTGGGAGAAAGATGAAGCTTTCTACTCCCATTATGGAGTTGGAACTGACTCAGTGGCACACCATCACCACCACACATATATACATGAATGCAAATCAAAAAGTATTGCTACAAAACCATAGAAAACTTTATTAAACAAAAATATCAAAATGTGCAACAACTGTTTTTCAACTATCTTCCATCCAGGTCTATACATGTCTAGAAGCGGTGTTTCCATCTCTCTTACCCCACCCTGAGGAATGCTGCCCTTTAACAATGTCAAAATGGCAATTCTAGCATCCTCAACGAACTCAAATAGTGTTCCTTCTTTGAGTTTTGAGAACAAAAACAAGTCTGAAAGGGCAAAATCAGGGCTGGAGGGTGGATTAGGTAAAATTTTCCAGTGAAATTCTCCTAGGACAGCCCTTGCTACACTCAAAGAATGGGCGGGCATTGTATCGTGATGGGAAAAAATTTCATGGCAAAACTTTTCCGGCCTTTTACACACCAATGCAGTTTTTCCATTTTCTTAAAACTTCTTCCTAATAAACCCCATGATCCCCCTGTGTCCTTCAAGAAAACCTATCAAGATGTCCTCTTTAGAGTCACAAAACACAGTTAGCATAACTTTCTGAGCTGGCTTCCATGTCTTGGAATTTAATTGGCCTTGCATTTCCTTTAGGAAGCCAATGTCATGAGTAGACCTACTTCCTAAAGGTGCCCAAACGAGACTTCGTTGTTGTTGTTAAGTGCCATCAAGTCAGTTCCAATTCATAACGACCCTATACAGGGTTTCCAAGGAACAGCTGGTGAGTTTGAACTGCCAATCTTGTGGTTCAAACCAATCTTATGGTCAAGTGCTTATCCCTATAGTGCCACAACACAACTCCCAAACGTGACTAAAACAAGTGTATTACTGAGAAAACTTGCCTGTAGCCCTCCACTGGCTACAGAAACATGTTTAAACTGATATATGTTTTGTTTAGAATAAAGCTGTGCTGTATGAACAGAACCCCCAGTAGCAATACTTTTTGACTTTTTCATATTTATATTCAGCATAGTCATCGATAGACAATACTGGCTCACAATAAAACTAATTTTTAAATTTAATCTTGAAGCAACTTTGGGTATTATAGCAGAAAATATTAAATATCCTTTAACTTGTAATTCTCTATTGCGAGCAAAGTTCATGATGAGAAAGCGATTTTTACCTGTAAAGCAGCTGTAGATTCTTCACTGGGTAAGGAATCTATCAAAACATCTATGTCTTTTGCTGTTCGTGCAATCAGTGCTGCAAATAGCTGGGCATACTCTGGACAAAGATATCATTACAAGAGGCCATTAAAAAGTCTCAAGTTTTCAGATGTCAAAGTTAAATTTTAAGTTAAAGAAATAGAAAACACCATGACATTTTCTCAACTAGACTTCTAACGGTGAAAATGTAATGTCAGCACACAAACATATATAACTAAGAATTCACCATAATAGCAACTCAAATTGAGAATTTTGCATAATTATGCTATTTTATTTATTAGCACAATATGGTAGTTGTTTAAACAAATTTGTAAATGAGATGCCTTCCTTAATAATAACCTTCAAGTAGGTTCAGCTAAATTCTATGAATTCTCCTTTTAATGACTGACAATCCTATTCTAATTGTAGAAGACGTGTAACTAAAAGCGGGGAGTAATCTTTCATTTCAGGACCATCAAGAAGGACTAGCACGAGCATAGCAATGTGAGACACTACCTAGAAGAGTGGCAACAGCAGTGAGGGAGGCAAAAGCAATGGCTTGGAGAGATAGCACAGGTGCAGGCTCTAAGTCCACACACTGAGTACGGCTGCGTACGCCTGCAGGCAGGAAGGCTGACTTGCAGAATATGTCCTTAAGACACTGAAGTGAATAGATGTTTTTTGTTTTATATGTGTACAGCAAATATTTTTGTTTTGTTCTTTTGTGAATATAAGATGTAAAAGAGAAGCCACAGGGAAAACGTAGTTACATGGAAGGAACTGTAGTCACTGAGATGAAACAAATTGTATAATTTGTTGAATGTAAAGCTGATGACCTTATCTGTTAACTTTCACTCAAGTCACAGTAAAAAGTTAAAAAATAAAATAAGTGAGTCATAACATGATATCTCTGAAATGATCATGATGGAAATGTCATGTGAATTGACATAATAAATTCATTTTTTGACAAATAAAACTTGCAATAATATTCTCAAACAGTATTTTTTAGAAAAAAAGCCATAAGTTAAATTTCTCAATAAACCTTAAAGTATTATGAGTAATGTGAGAGTAAAACTGAGAGAAGCAAAAGAAAAAAAAAATAATAATAATAACAAAAAGCCCATCTTTACCTTCTGTAGGATTAGTTGGTTGATCTTTGTTTATTGCTGTCTGAATATTACTAAAAGAGGCAGGGGGACCACACTGCTGCAACACTCCAATGGCATTACAAAACTGATCTGCAAGCTTGGACCAAAGAAAACATATCAAGGTTAGAATGGATTTATCCACTTTAGGATTTTATTGGTAATAACGTAATACATTTTTATAATAACAATTTCTGAACCAGAAAATAATACAGGAGTGGTTTTCAATAAAATAAGCGAGTTATATTAACAATGATTAAATGTCTTAACTATGCAAAGAAACTAAATTTTGAATCAATCTAGTTGGAGTTAAAATTTCTAACAATTTAATTGAAATAGTAAAAAAGAAATATAAAATGATGCTTTCTTCCAAAAGTAATATATATGTGAAGAACTACTGTAAAAGCAACAAGAGTGGTGGTGGGAGAACAAATTTGGTTAGCCAAATCTAAGCATGGCTCTAGGATTAATAAAAGTGTGTGACTCGTGTGCAATGTTTCTGTTCCTGAAACCAGAGTAGCTATAAGGGTAAAAAAAATAGTGGACAAAAAGATCTTAACTATTCAGAAATGTATTTCTCCATGACTCGAGTTGTAAATGTGTGGTGTTCTGAAAGTATTCCTTGTACTCCTGGTGTGGTGCTGCAGGATCAACACTGGACGGTGAAGCAAAAGGTCAGCAATTCAAACCCACAAGCTGCTTCTCAGAAACCCTATACAGGGTTGCTATGAGTGGGAACCGACTCAACAGCACTTAACAACAACACCCTTAAGCAGCTCTGAAGACTGAGAATTCCAATTCCTTATCAATCCCAAAACAAACACCCTCCAACCTTCCTGCTATTCTGATTTTCTCAAACCTTAATCTTGTATTTTCAATCACTGAATAAATACTTCCAGAGTGTCTGTTATTATTTCCATTACAGAACTTAAAGTTGAACCGTCATAAAATCAGTTCCTTCTGTTTAATTTCTAATTTACGTTGAGTTCCTCCTAGCCAATCAGTATAATCTGAGATTTACTTCTTTCATCCTCAAATAGTACAATTTTTTTTCTGCTTTTATCATAACTGCTGCTGCCTTAGGCCAACTAATTTTCTCACACCAGAACTGTTAAAATAGCCTACTAGTTATTTTCTGACATACTGTAATTTTAATCTGCTCAAAAAATTTGACTTCACTGTCCCATGGTCTTCAAGATAAATCTCCAGGTCTTCATGGCAGTTTCAAAACTTTCAGTATCTAAGACAGCTCCACTGATCCATTTCCTACTACTCCCGTATTTATCTGACTAGTCAAAAATTAATTCCTGGTTTTGTTCACTCAATAACACTTTGCTCATGACTTGCTGCTTGTAACAGAGTAGTTACAGGCTCAGACGCTGTACAAAACTGGATTCTGATACTAATTCATCCTAAGTCATTTTTTTTTTTTCATTTTTAAATTGAGGAATTCTCCTATCAGAATTATTGTGAGGAATAGAAAACAAATACACACAAATTCAACACAGTGGCTACCTACATTTTTCAAAACTCTTACAATCAATTGTATTCACTTATTTAACAAGTATATATCAAAAGTCAATTACACGTATGTATCACTTAACATTCATTTGGGGCAATGTCCAACTGCATGTAAGTCCCACCACATATATTTGTGGATCAAGGCATCCAGTTGCCTAAGTGGCAGGATGTCAGGCCCTTTTCTTGAGACTGGAAGCCCACTTCTGTCTGGTTGTTGAGAGCTGCTCAGACGCTACATGTCTGCAGTGATGGAGGCCCAGGCCCGGATCCACCTCAGCTCCTGGGACTCAATGGTTTTCGTGTGTATAGTGTGGTGCATGGTGTGGTCCTATCCAGGTGCTGATGGAAAGGTAAGCACTTAAGGTGTCCAAGGCCTTGGCTTGGGTATCTTTAGCCCCCTCCAGGAAGGTTTCCACAAGCAAGCTGGCCTTCGCACAAGTGACTTAGCAGAGGACGTGGTAACAGTCAGGCAGCTGAGCACTTTCTTGAGGTCATCAACAGTGGGAACCATCTGGGCCACTTGTATCCCATAGCAGCCTCCCACCCCCCTACTGCTACCACTGCTCAGTGCGTTCTGCAACCTACGGACACAACATCCAAATCACATAATGTCCTATTTTACAGTATGAGCTCTGGTAGTGTAGTGGTTACAAGCTGGGCTACTACTAACCTTAAGGTCAGCAGTTCAATACTACCAGCAGTTCCACAGAAAAAAGATGAGGCTTTCTGCTCCCGTAAAGATTTACAACCTCAGAAACCTTATACAGGGTTACTATGGGTTGGAACCGACTCGACGGCATTTAACAACAACAACAAACCTGGAGTTAACCCCACAATCAATTTGTCCTTACTCTTCTTCTAATTGGGAGTCCTGGTGTGGCACTATAGGAGAAAGAACTGGACCTCAAGGTTGGTTTGAACCACAAGGTCAGCAGTTCAAACTCACCAGTTGCTCCTTGGAAACCCTATGTTATACAGGGTGGCTGTGAGTCAGAACCAACTCAATGGCACTTAAAAGCCACAACAATTCTTCTAGTTACATGATACACATAAATATGTAAGTTTCCCTAAAACAACATCACTGGCCAGGCAGCATCATGATTTGATTTTGTAAAATCTCAAGAGCAATAACTGGCTGAGGATACAGCTGAAGACCTTGTCTGTTAACCTTCACTCAATTCGCAATAAAAGGAAAAAACAACCTGTAATATCACTAAGGGAGATAGGCAGGCAGCCAAACCAAGCTATTTGCAAAGCAGCATCTATCTTAGTGAATGCATCAAAATTTAGAGACTGATCCTCTCTGCCTCAAAAAATGTTTGTGTGTATATATTCACACACAAAGCAGATTAGTTTTTTACAAAGTGACTCATATTCTTTAAGCATACAAAGACTCGAAGACTGTAGTATTAACATGAATGTCAACAGTGCGTATAAGGGAACAGACTTGCCAGTCACCTTAATCTTTTTCTGTAAGCACCTGGAACATTAAATTATAACCAGAATGCCAATGAGAAATACGAGGGGGCTTTAAAAAGTTTGTGGGAAAATGGAGTTAAATAATAATGGCATTTCCCACAAATCTTTTGACACTCCCTTAGTGTAACCAATAGGAAACTATTTAACTCCAAATAGTAACATTTTATGAATCCTGGACTGCACATACTTTCCACTTGTTGTTTTGTTGTTGTTATGTGCCGTCGAGTCGGTTCCGACTCATAGCGACCCTGTACAGGGTTTCCGAGGCTGTTAATCTTTACGGGAGCAGAACGCCTCATCTTTCTCCCGCAGAGCAGCTGGTAGTTTCGAACTACTGACCTTGTGGTTCGCAGCCCGATTCGTAACCACTAAGCTACCAGAGCTCCAATACTTTCCACTTAGACACAGTAAATTTTAAAAAAGAATAAACCAGAAGGATCAAATTCAGAATTTGTTTCAAGACTTAACCTTTAACAGGCAACAAACTTATTGGAAGAAATAAAGCAGAAATATGAATGAATAGATATCCTCCTGGCAGCGCATCAAATGGTTAAGTGCTCAGACACTGAATGGTTAGCAGTGTGAACCCTCCCTCTTTAGGAAAAACACCTGGTCATCTGTTTCTGTAGAGATTACAACCAAGAAAACCTTCTGGGGCAGTTCTATTCTGTCACATGGAATCACTCCGAGTCGGAATCAACTTGGTGATACAAATCAATACATCTTGTTGTTAAGTGTCATTTCATTGGTTCCGACTCACAGAGATCCTGTATAACCCTACAGTGAGCAGTCCAGTGCTTTCCTACAGCATCATACCAGGACTCCGATATAAGAATAAACATGGGTAATGTGAAGGAAGGTAAGTGCTTCTCCTTGGGAATCTGTTGTTATTGCTTAATAATAATGGCTTTTGGAAGCTTTGCCAACACTGTGCAAAAGTATCTTGTATGTCCAGCTCAAACACAGATGAATCTAATAGCCATAGAATGGTTGATGCTAGTGCATCTGTTTCTCATTCCTAGCAATCTAATGGCTGCCTGGAAGTTTCAGAATAGTCTTGTCTGCATGTGCAGTGCAGATTAACAGATGTATACAAGCACATACACAGTCCCAGAGCTTTAAGCCACTTCTGGAAAGAAGACAGGATGTCGAGTATTCATCTCACAAACTGTGGACGTGTTATCAGGAGGCACCAGTCCTTAGAAAAGAACATTATGTTTGGGTCAGTGAAAAACAGGAAGACCCTCAATGAGATGGACTGATTGACACAGTGGTTGTTTCTAACAATGGGCTCAAACTGTGAGCATGACGCAGGACTAGGCAATGTTTCATTCTGTTGTACATAGGATTGCTATGAGTTGGAACCAACTCTAAAGAAGTTAACAACAACCTGAAAAGAGGATGGCATGAGAAAATAGGATTAGAAGATTCAAAATCATAAAGATGTCAGTTCTGCCCAAAATAGGTTTGTAAATTCTGTACAAAGTCCCAGTAGGCTGTGTTTTCAATTTCTGTAGTGCAATTCTGATATGCGTTACTAAAATCTATATACAAGTACAAAGGGCCAATACTAGCCAAGCACAAATAAGAACACAGAAAGAGAAACTACCCTACTACATATCAAGATTTTGTCGTTAAGACAGTGTATTATTGTTCAGGGACAAAACTGCTGGTTCAGAAGAAAGCCCCAAAGACAACCAAGCACATATGAACACTTGATATGATAATACCTCTGGGCTAAACGGATATCAATTGGGTCCAAAAACTGGGTAAAGTGTGAAATTAGATCCTAACCTTCTATAAAAATTAATTCCAGGTAGATTAAGATCTAAGTGTAGAAAGGCAAAAGATAAAGTATGTTTTAAGCAACAAAATAATTTCTATTTATAAAGATTAATTAGAGAGTACAAGAATAACATATAACCCAATCAACAGACTGCAAAAATGGACAAAGGACTAGAAGAGGCATGTGAAGAGAAACTCCTCTAATGGCCAAGTTATCATAAGAAAAAGTGTTCAAAACCTTAGTCATAAGGGAGATGCAAATTTAAAACATAAGATTCTTCTATTCATTCATCTGAAAGATTAAAACAAAGATGATTGATGGTATCAAGTTTTAGAATAAACTTATCAGAATTTAGATTGATAAAGATATGGATTAAAAGAAACTTAACTGCTTTGCTTCGTACTCTTATGTGCAGGGAGACATCTAGACACCAATGTTCATAAACTAAACACAATCTAAACGCTCACCAAGAAGGAAACAAAGCATGTTAATAAAGTAAAGTGCCATAAAGCTGGAGTCCTGGTGTGGCGCTGTAGGTTAACGCGCTGGACTCGTTTGAACCGCAAGTTCAAGCTCACCAGCTTCTCCTTGGAAACCCTATACAGGGTCGTTATGAGTTGGAACCAACTTGACAGCACTTAACAACCACCACCACGTTGTTGTTGTGAAGTTCTGTTGAGATGATTCTGACCCATAGCGACCCTGAATAGGGTTTCCAAGGAGCAGCTGATGAGCTTGAACCACCGACCTTAAGCTATGCAAATTAATGCCATAATGTTGTATAAGTGCCATTGAGTTGGTTCTACTCAGAGCAACTCTGCATAGGGTTTCTGAGGAGCAGCTGTTGAGTTTGAACTACCGACCTTAAAGTGCAAACTGAACTTTTTGGGTCCTGTGCTTATCCCACAGCGCCACACCAGGATTCCAACGCCAGCACCATACTACTGTATGCAAAATGTTGAGTGAGAGATGCCATCCACAAAAGAATAAATGTATATATACAATTTAAAAGACAAAACAAAATTAAACTATTTTGTTTTGGATGCCTACATGAATGATAAAACTACAAAAAAAAAGAGATTGCAGAAATCAGGATAGAACTGAGATCAAGCATTTCTGGGATGCTGGCAATGTCTCATAGGTGTTAACAGACTGACAGCACTTAACAACAGCTGAGAAAAATAGCTTTAAATTGATTTGTACACCTCATTCTGCTTTTGTTATTGTTTTAGATCCTAAAGTAGGTGTGCAGTCCTGGTGTGCCGTTGTAGGATCAGCTCTGGCGTGCTAACCACAAGGTCAACGGTTCAAATCCACCAACCGCTTCTCAGACACCCTATACAGGGTCACTAAGGAGCTCTGGTAGCGTAGTGGTTACGAATCGGGCTGTGAACGTTAAGATCAGCAGTTCGAAACTACCAGCTGCTCCGCGGGAGAAAGATGAGGCGTTCTGCTCCCGTAAAGATTTACAGCCTCAGAACCCTGTACAGGGTCGCTTTGAGTCAGAACCGACTCCACGGCACCTAACAAGAACACATAACAACAAAATTGATAATGCAGCCAGCACTCATTTCAAATACACTGCTAAAAAACATAAACTCCATCTTCTCAACCTCTGGATAACATTTCATAAATAATCCAATTAAATCAATTTCTATGCCACGCCGTGGCCAAGAGACAACGGGACCTTTGACCTTTAGAAACTAACTAGGAAAACCACAACTGACTTTACCATCCCCCACCCCCGCCGTAAACCCAAAAATTGAGGCGACGAAATCCTCTGGAAAACATTTATAATTAGAGATCCAATCATCAAGCATGCGGGCTTGCCTCTGTGGGTTGTTGTTGTTGTT